AAAACGAAGTATAAATGTTGATGTATTGATTTTAGATATTTTGATATGTGTATATTTATATTGTATATATATATTTTTTTTATTTTTTTTGTATATACGTATATATATGTACTTAATATGTATATATATACAAAAATAAAAAAAAATATATACATATGTATGTATGTGTGTATAATGCATGTTACATATATTCTACAATTAATGCAATAACATTTTTACTTCGTTTTGTATAAGTGAGCATACGTTTTGCATATTTATTATATTAGTTTGTATCATAAATGCATAAAATCCGCAGTATAGTCGCGGATCTCTCAAGAGTTCGCATGTTCGGATAAAGTATTGGTGGACGTCGTGGATCGATATCGGTTTGAATATTTATGTGGAAGAAAATAAATCGTCCCTGAAGGGGTGAACCGCGCGCGAAGCGTCGAATCATCCTTGACAGTGGCGGAAACCGTAGTATCCCTGTCAAGTTTAAAGCCGTCGGAATCGATCGACGGAAAATCTAATCCCGGGTCGAGGCTCGAAGAACGCTGACGGCACGTAGCCTAGCCGATCTACGCGGTCACTGTCATCACCGTTAGATTTACTAGTGTCCCGATTACTCTGCGATCATCCATGGCCAATGATTGCGCACGTCCCCTCCTTCTGAAAGGCTGCGACGAGACGCGCACGGGAGAGCAATTAAATCCGACGAAGCCACATGCGTGCACGTTCAGAGATAAACGAAGCTTCCATACGAAGAACAAATAACGAGTAAAAGTGCAACACTGAGGGACTTTGTACCTCAGTTCAACAAATTAATATTAACTCTGGCTCTATAGAAGATAATTGAAAGCATTACAGAGTGTTTTTCGAAAATAGTTTGATATGTTTCTGTGATCAACGGAAGGATCAACCATATCGTTCTATATTTTAAATACTAATTTTTGTTAATTATTTTCCGTCTCTCTTGTTCGCGATTCTTTTCTAAATAAGACCGTTGTCCATCTGTGATTCGCGTTCTTCCGTTTATTTACCTCCCGGAAGGGGAGACGGAGTCGAACTCTCTTCGTGGGTCGACCTAAAAAGCGTCAATACCGTTGCACGCACGGTTTACTATCGACGAATGTACAGTTAACCACACATGGGGAAAATTTGATTCGAATAACAAGCGACGACTAAAAGGACAGTCCAGACAGTCTAGCCGTGATTCATTAACAACGTTTACGGGATCAAACGATCGCACAGATCTGTCGGTATTTCGTATGCAGTTTCAATTAGGGAATAATAGATAAAAATGCACTTTCTATTCGCATTAGGAATATTTGTTTAGATAAGTATTTTTCCCAGCAGTTAACCGTGTACCCGATCATATCGACGCGCGCAATTTCGAGCAAGCTTTCCCTGTCGTTTCTTGGACGCACATTCCATGCATAAAATCGGACCACAATGCAGCAGAGACGAACGGCTGCGGACGTGTTAATGCCACGGACAAGAATATTCCGAAATTGTCTTATTTAGTTATTGTTTCAAACATGTTTACTCTGAAGGAGTCTTATTATATAGGATTAATTTTATATCATTCGTGTTACTTTTTTTTTAAGTTTCTTTGCAGACCTTTCCTGAAACGAATTATTTTCATTTAATATAAACCTAGAGAATGTCGATTAGAAAGCGAAATGTGCAACTCTTCCATCGGTTCCTGCGACACTTTAACGTTTAAGGTTATGAAGCCACGGATGATGGGAATTGGAAGCGCTGTTCCCCTAGGATAATTGAGATGTTGCTACAGAAGAAAGAACAGAGACACTTTGTCTGTGAACTCTGGCTCTGCTCACCTGACTTTTCCGCCACAGAATTGGCAAGCAGTGCCCTGCCAACCCTCGTGGCACACGCAGGTGCCATTGACACAGTCCCCGTTGATGCAACTGTCCGTGTCGCAGGTCGTATCCGTCGAAAGCGACGACGAGGAGGAGGAGGCGGCAGCGGTTACGTGCACCACCCAACAGATCAGCGCCGCCCACAGTATCGGCCACGGCACCGCAATTACACAGCACTGATCGCGTACCACCTCACGGCACTGCCCTTCTTTCCGACGGTACTTCGATTTATATAGGAACAAAAACATCTGCACGGCCTCTGCCATTTTGATGGGCTTCCATGTCAGGGACAATGGCCGACGGCGACCCACCGGACGAGATACATACGGACACCTCTGTTCGTCGCGTTTTACGATGCAAACTCGCTCACTCGCTGCGCGCTGCCGATGTCGAGAGTGTGCGGTCGCTACCGCGCGGCTCCCACGGTGTCGCAACCATGGACCACATCGCTAAGCCGGGGGTTTCGTGGAGATCGTTCACTCGACCGATGCTCCCTACTATTAGCTGTTTCGAGACACGGCCGACAGGCAGCGCTGCACGCACCGTCCGCAGCCGTTCGTCATTGGTGGATTGGTGCGCCGAACCGCGTTCTTTAACATTTATTCTAGAATGAACCAGGATGAACGTATGAATGCAAATACATCTTCATTAGCAGACTTTCTCTTTTATAGTTATTAAAGAGTTATGGGTTTCCCTGTTGTTATGATTCTTTTCCTCGGTTGATGCTAGGTCACCAAGCCTCCACCTTCGTGGCATGTCGAGGAAACTTCGTTGAGGTTAGAATCAACGCTTCACGCGAATGTAGCGTCGCATGTGTTACTTTCTTCAACCATATATATATATATATATATATATATATACATATACTGCTCAAGCTTATTCTTTATACACTGAGCAACACTGAGCAGAGCGTAACCAACATCTTCATACTAAAAGTGAGACTTGACGATAATGCGCATGCGTCGAATGCGAGAACTATAGCAAAAATTCCATCTCGATGACAGGCTGACTGCAGCTTTGACCAATAGTCGAAGAGTAGTTCCTTTGAGTATATAGACATATACTCAATATACATTTCTATATACATTTTATATTCTATATTTCTATATTTCTATATTTCTATATTTCTATATTTCTATATACTCAAAGAGTATAGCAAGCAGTCCAAAATTTCAATTCGCGCCTTTCCCCACTGCTATCGCCCATTGGCTGTAGCGCTTGCGCACAACTGCTTACTCGTAACTTTGGCATAGGAAATGTTGGTTACGGACTACACTGTAGCTTGAGCAGTCCATGTAAACGCTCAAGCTTTGTAGTGAAAATAGTTCCCAATTTTTTTTTTTAGATGGTCCAACTGGCTCAAAGAATCGATATTTATTGCTGCATTAAATAATTATTCAAAAAAATGATAAAGTCGACATGTTAACTAATATATTGTAATATTGGGAAGTAAAGAATCGTTTTAATTATGCATTTATGAAATATGAAGAACAGTTGATTAAAAGGTATCGGTGACGCCATCTTACTGAAACGGTAAGAACTATTTTCTGTAGAAACTTAGGCGTTTTCCCGCCGATGACGCCACTGAACTATACTAAAGTTTAGTGGTGTTAGTGCTGAAAAGTACTCTGATAATGTATTAATGCATATCGCCACATATCGCGTTGCCAGTTGGCAGTAACGAAGGCAACCCGGTTCAAGTGAAGTTGTGTCTAAGAAACATCAGACACTTTATTTCAAGCTGTCACCAGCTATCACATTGGTTACTTCGTGACTTCCTCTGGAATTTTTGCACCGAAACAGGTGGAGTTTTGCTCCATGTACCATACCGCAACGCATCAATTAATTTATTATTTAACAACCTCTTAAATAGAGATCGAAGAAACATTGATATTTTGTAGTAAGTCCATACCCATCGAGCGATTTAGATTTCAATCCCAGCGTGTTCTAATCACACCTAATAAGACTATTCTGCTAATATTGTCGTATCATCTTTCTGATATCTTTATGACGTTTATTAATAGTAATTATTGTTATCAAAAATCAGTCATTATAAAAGAAGCCTGGTTTAAATGTTACGTATGACATAAAATTAATAAAGACTAACACTCAACCCGTAGGCAATGTCAGATGGATTTTATTCGCGCTGTATATTGTTTAAGGGTTTCAAAATGTATTACAGACAAAACTGTCAAATGAATTAAAATCTAGCAATGCTTTTCATGATGATTCATAAAACAAAAGCATACGTGTTGGTCTCGTGTGTTATTAAATGACCACGTCCATCTTCTATACCTCGATCCCTGCATCCTTTAGACCCTGAAATCTCAAGAACACGAATTTGAAAACGTCTCGTTGAAAAATGGCAGGAAAAAAGAAGAAGGGAAAGGGAAAGGGAAAGGGAAGAAGAAAAAGGATCGATGAATATCAGCTTCGTAGAAATTTGAGGGAACAGGCACGTAGAAGAGACTTGGAAGCTTCCGAAGCTGCAATTACAATGCCCAAGAAGGACTTATCGCAATATGCCGAAGAGATCAGACTCGGTGGTATCGAAGGGTGAGCATTTCAATTCTTTTGTCTTTGTTTCACGCTTGGACCTTATAACGTACAAGTACCTATTTACAAGCTACACACACGACTCGTTATCAACAGATATGTGTGTACTTATCGCGAAATTTTTATCCTTTAATCTTCAAATCGTCAGAATTTTCCGACTCACTCCATGACATTATCAAAAATAAAATAAAATTCGATGCTTCCATAAATCGTGAAAATGAAATTTTTCGTGACTGTTTCCCCGGCTTATTATCTTATGACTATACTATATTTCTGTTTTCTCTTTCGCTAATTACGATTTAACCACTTTGACAATTAGTGGCGGTACGCATTCTACCCTCGTGATTATCGATGGGAAAGGAACACAACTAACGGAAGTGAAGGGACCGAATACCAATCACTGGGTAATTTTCTAAATGAATTTTCTGTAACGAACATTTTTTGTATCGCGAAGAAAAAGATGAAAAATCGTATTTAATTTAGACGATAGGAATGACCGAAACTGCCGCTAGGATCAACGCCATGGTGCTAAGGGGGAAAGAAGCTTTGAACATACCGGAAACAGTTCCTTTAGATTGCTTAGTAAGTTTGATAATATTGGGTTGTCCGGAAAGTTCATCCCTATTTTTAAGAAAAATTCAAAGGCATATTTGAATTTTGGTGTCCATTTATTGAATTATACAGGGTGTTCAAAAAAAAGCATTCAATATTTATATGGTGTATAGCGCAGCCTGTATACAGTGTACAGTATACAGTGTACCCTACCCAGTGTACAGTGTACAGTATACACTGTATACAGTGTGCCCTATACACCATATAAATATTGAATGCTTTTTTTTTTAGCACCCTGTATAATTCAATACAGTGTACAGTGTACACTGTACCATTTTGTTTCACAACCTTTCCAGCTGTTAAGGAATGTACACATTTGTTTTCAGCCATTCCAATATATTCAGATTTGTACCGCTTACTAAAAATCGTCATGGACTTTCCAGACAGCGAAATACGTGAAAATTAACTTGAATTCCTATAGCGAAATATTAAATAATCAGGGTCTTTCGCTGAGTGGTTGCGAAGAGGAGAAGACGAATCGTCTTCTCGTGGAAACCATGCAACAAAATTATCCGAATGTTGCCAAGGATTACGTGGTTACTTCGGACACCATGGGCAGTCTTAGAACTGGCTTGGACACTGGTGGAATCGTTGTAATCGCTGGCACTGGTAGCAATGCCCTGATGATTGACCCCGACGGCAAAGTTACAGGTTGTGGAGGCTGGGGACACATGATGGGAGATGAAGGAAGTGGTAGGTACCGCGACGGTACAATAAAACGAACTTCAAAGCGGTGCTGCACGCGTCGTGGCAACCATTAAGGGTGCGCAGGACCCAGAGCCAAACTCCGAGTTGACTTCAGCGACAGTCGCGGAAAAAGTAAGAAACTCCGGGACAAGGACAGAGAGAGCGATACAACAATTGCAAAAGAGACGAGGACAGGGCGATACGCTAGCATAACTTTCTTCGAAGATATTGAAGCAAAGAAGCAATATTTTCTAATAATTCTGGTTTTAATATATTCGTTA